AAAACTTCCAGAACACGGCCACACAGCCCGGAAGACCCACACCAGCACTCCAAAATAGCATTAGTGGTAATTAGAGATTGACTGATTAGGCTCTTTCGCCTGCACTCCTTCCACTGGCCTCCTAGACTGCTATGGCTTAGCCATGGCCTCCTACCAGCACACTTATCAGTTCATAGTTGCTATGAGATGCTTTCACATGGGAATACATTTGAAATTCTGAGAGAAGATGTACTCACAAAATAGCTGACATGGCAAATTTGCTTATTCATAAAATGGTTGCTAGGGTGGGCATGGTGAGTCACAAAACACCCATTTACTGGAAGATAATCCATCCCTTAGGATGCTCTCCACCATTCTAGGGGAACTCTTGTGGGCTCAGCATGAAATCAATGCATTTAATATAATTCATGCCTTATTTTGCAGCAAGTCAAGTTCTTATTTAATTTTTGTTATTTATAAAAAGAACCTTTAAAGATGGGGCAAAGAGCCTGTGGGGCCCAGCTGTAGTACCTGGGGATTTAATGGTACCCCTAGGCATTGTGCTGCCTGAACCCAAGCTAAATGAACTTTAAGTTTGTTCCAGCAGCCATGGTTTTAATTACTTTCACAAGTTCTTTTGAAGAAATTAGAAGTCTGTTCATCTAATTGGGCAGCACAGTTTTGTCCTGGTTCACTTCCTTCCTCCAAGACCAGTCCCAATTGGTGTTGATTGGGAGCAAGAGGTCCAGCCCACAGCTCCTCAGTTGTGGGGTACTGCAGGGTACCGCTCCTTTTTAACATCTACATGAAACCACTGGGTGAGATCATCTGCCACCATGGGGTGAGGTATCATCAGTATGCAGATGATACCCAATTATACATCTCCATCCTGGGTGACTTGAGTGATGCTATGACCACCCTTTCATGATGCCTGGAGGCTGTGGGGGTCTGGATGGGGCACAACAGGCTTCAGCTGAACCCTGGTAAGACGGAGTGGCTGTGGATTAGAAGCTCCTCTATATTCGGGGGTTTACCATCTTTGGTTCTGGATGGGGTTTCGTTGCCCAAGACAGACCCAGTGCGTAATCTGGGGGTCCTCCTGGACTCACGACTCCTGCTCAAGGAGCAGGTGGCAGTCATGGCCAGAAGGGCCTTTGCTCAGCTTCGTGTTATGTGCCAATTATGCCCCTTCCTGGATCAGGAGGCCCTCCGGTCAGTCACTCACTCCCTGGTCATCTCTCATTTAGACTATTGCAATGCGCTCTACATGGGGCTACCCTTGAAGTGTATCCGGAAGCTACAGCTTGTTCAAAATGCAGCTGCGTGGACCATCTTGGGTGCCCCAAGGATGGCACATGTAACACCTCTGCTGTGGGAGCTGCATTGGGTACCAGTTTGCTTCTGGGTCCAATTCAAGGTGTTGGTTATCACCTTTAAAGCCATATATGGCATGGGGCCAAGCTACCTGAAGGACCGCCTCGCCCCCACGATCTCAATCTGCCCCACCAGATCTCACAGGGAGGGCATGCTCCGGACCCCCTCAGCAAAAGAACTCTGACTAGCAGGGTCCAGAAGGTAGGCCTTCTCTGCTGTAGCCCCCACCCTTTGGAACATCTTGCCCCCAGAGGTGAGACAGGC